TGTTGTTGCTGTTGTTGTCGTCGGTATTTTGAAACATCTTTGAAACTATGCGTGCCACAAAATCCACAATAATCTGTTTGCCATGCCATCAAGCACAAGGGTCTGAGCCTATTTCATTTTCAGGCACTCATTAGTGAACTTCGCTCTCCCCTTTAGCAGCAGCCCCACCATTTAGAATATATATATATATATGTATATGTATGCATTTCTTTTTATTTTCCTGGAAAATTGTACATGCGTGCAGCATTTCTCATTTTCATTTGTTTCAACGGAAGCTGCAATTATTTATAATTTGTTGTTTTTACTTTGGTTTGGCCAAGTCCTCTAACCTGATGCAATTAGTCCCAAAAATGGCGTTGTACGGTAGGTGACGGGGAATGGGGGGTAAGCACAGCCAGCGAGCATATCTTATTAAATTAATTGCCTGTCATGTTGCTCCACGCTTTCGGCAGCAACAAGCAGAACAGCAACAACAACAATGTTTGCTGAATATTAAAATAAAATAAACAAATCATATTGAAAGCCGTCTTGCGATTTGCAGCCATAATTTCGTTCACATTGCGCTTATTTCGATTCCAAAATTTATGTAAAATGAAAATTTATGCGTCAACTGATTTATGCGGTTTTCCGTATCGCATGCATGACATCGCCATAGAGGCCGCCTCCCCCGCATCTGATCATCAGCTACTCCCCCCTCTCCCAGTCTGTCAAGTTGCATCCATGTGCGACGAACGACGAGCGACGGCGTCGCTTATTTTTGGAGCGCAGTCCAAATTAATATGTGTGTTTATGATTATGATACACGTATCATTATGCTTACACATAAATTTGTCTTTGCCTCTGAGCTGGGGGAATAACAACATTGTCAAACAATCGACTAGAGAGTCTTAGAAGGAGGAAAAATCTCTATGTATATGTCGAGACGTCATATCGGAGCATAAACACAAATCCAAGTCTGTCTGCAATATGTTTTTATTAGCTCTTCTTTTCGAATAGTTGGATTATGCAATATTTTCGTAAGAGAAAATTGTTGCATGCAGTTTTTTATAAGTGAAAAAAGTTGTTAGCAAAATTGTTTGGCATATATAGAAAATATATAATGTAAATGGAATGTCTAAAATTATTTCTAGGGTAGTTATTGTGAGTGAAAAAAATAATATATATAATATATATATAATAAATAAATAAAATAAAATAAAGCAGCCATTAATTACTTTTGTTTTTATATTTTTAAGACTGTATAAAATTTTCTAATAATTTTTATTCATTAGACTCAAAACCGTAAATTGTATTTTATTTAATTATTTATTATAATGTAAGATAATAGTTCTGATATTTTATTTTTTTTCATATATTTATAATAATAATATTTTTAAGACGTTTGAAAAATGTTCTTCTATTTTATTTATAATTCATATATTTATAAAAATTAAATTTTTAAAACGCTTGAGATTTAACTTTATATTTGCCTATGAAGCCTTAAAAATTTATAAATTATTTGTCAACAAATCACTTCAGTTCACATTTATACACTTTTACATAAGTAAATAAACTATAACATTATTACAATCGCTGATATGTTTTTCCATTTACCATTTCTCATGATAAATTCTTTTCTTTACTTCATTTGCAGGTCACTCGTTTTGCGGAGTCAACGCGCCTTCATTGAGGAAAATGGTACGTAAAGCAGCTAGGGCAGGGGCAGGGGCAGGGGCAGGGGCTGAGGCTGGGTGTGGGTTTTTATTCGGCCATAAAATCGCGGCTTAAGCCCACATGAGTGCCACTCTGGTGGAATTGGATGTGGGTCAACTTGACGCCCGCACAGAGCACTGAGATTGGCGATGACGGCGGCAACACCCACCCACTGTCCATAAAAACGGCAATGTCTTTGCTCTGCGCCAATTTGTCGCAGCAACAACAGCAGCAGCAGCAGCAGCAACGGCAACTGCAACTCTCTGATTGGCATCGGCTGCACTTTCCAGTGTCCATTGACAGTGTCGTGAAAGAGAGTCAGCTGCCTTTGACGACAGTCGGAGTCGATTACGCCTCCAGGCGATATTTGCAATTCCAAAAAATTTGGCTGCACAAGAATTCGCATTTGACTTTTAATTAAGCCCGAAAGCCAGAGCCGGTTTTTGGGCTCTGATTGATATAGATGGAGTTTATTCATTATTCATTCATTTGGCTGTGGCCAACTTATGACAGCGGATGTGAGTTGACGTTTTTGGGTTTGTGGGCGTGGCCGGTTTGCAGGCGTTAATTGAGCCAATTAAAGACGAAATGTAAATGCCAGCCGAGTGCGAGCCAACTCTGTGCCAAATTGGACTCATTAGCCACACGCAGTTTACAATATTTTTAGTAAATTTGTTTTCGTTTTTTTCTTCACATTTTCATTTCGTTGCGTTTGCACATAAAATTTATGACACGTGGAGAATCATAATCAAGAGAATAATAATAGCAGCCAGCGCCAAGAAGCCGTGCATTAATTGGATAATCAAATGCATAGAAAATAACCATAAATTGGCCCACCGAGTCGTTCCGTGGGGAGCACTTTGAAGCAAATCAAAGCGAAGACCTGCGGGAACAACTGCAGCAATTAAGCAAAAATAGCTGATGCACTAAAAAAAGAGAGAGTCATTTAAATTGATAGATCATGGGGGATACTAAGCTAGTTATAGGATATTTATTTACTTTTTTAAAGAGGTCTTTAAAGGCTCCTTTAACTGTTGTACGAGCTTATAAAAGTGAGCAGGATTTGCATTTTGGTAGGCCAAACAGCTTTATCATTGAGCGACTATAAAATTTTAACTATTGCCATCGAAATTTATTTATTGTGGGAAGTTTTTTATTATATTTATGTATATTATATTTTTTAGAATTGATTTGAAGTAGTTTTATACATTTGTAGTTCCATTCAATAATGATATAGTATAATATATGATATAGTATAGAGTACTCTGAGTCATTATTGACTATTGATAATAGTGCTACAAACTCAGATTTGCGAACAAGTCAGATAAGTCAGAACTAAAAAATAAAAAATTATGTGTTCTCTATGATAAGGAAAACTATATTGTTTGCATTTTTTGTTTACATTAAATTATTATTTAAAGCTCGAATACATTGATTCCTTCTTGGTTGCTCCTAAAAATACTTACAAATGATATGCGCATACTTATGTTTTAACTAATTGATGAACTCATTTGCAGTTGAAGTTGAGCTTTAAAGGAAGTAAATATCGATATTTCTAGGCTCTCTGAGCTCTAGATTTCTATACTCCCTCTGCTCGTTCTCTCTGTGCTCGCGCTCCCTATGTTCACTGTTCCTCTCATTCACTACTGATTAAAAGCACTGTTAAGTAGAACTCTTGGTCGCTGCTGCGATTTTTGTGAATCTTAATATCAGTGGAAGAAAGCTGAAAGTCTCTTTAAATTCAAAGGAAAACATAATATAAGATTATAATATAATATGATAATAATATATGTAGTGTATCCTTATTCTTTAGTAAAGTAGAAAATAAATTTTAATAAATAGTAAATGATAATTTATTCTCACAAAATGATTAATCAAAGAAATATTAAGTCCTAAACAGTAACGTCCTGCCTTTGAACTGATGACTACCTTAATTAGCTAAAAATTAAATAAATAAATTATAGCAAAATATATAAATTTCTTTCGACTGCTTACATAGTCTATTTTCAATAGCTATTCAATAAAAATAAATTATTGTGGCATTTTCTGAATTTATTTTGCTGCTGCTGTCACTTGAGTTGCGGCATGGAAATTCGATTGTGCAGCGGTTGCACGTGTTTAGCATAATTAAATTTTTGCACTTTACGGCAATTTGTTGTTGTTGTTGTTGCAGTTGTGGTTTGTGTTTTTTTTGCTGTGGTTGGCATTGCACCGTTAGCTTCATTAGCTGCAGCTGCAACAAACGCCTACCCACTGCAAATACCGACCCAGACACAGCGTCAGCCCCACAGCTCCATATGGGGCTAAATTGGATGATGTATGCATCAGTCGGACATGTGTATTAGTCGGGCAACCAGTTTTAATTTCAGTTTGTTTTTTGCTGCCTCCATTACTCTCTGGCTGTCTCTTGGCTGTCGCTCGAAAATTCATTCACAAGCCGGCTTCATTTCGTATGCTGGGCAGACGACGACGTCTTGGTCTTGGTCTTGGTCCGAGACGCCCACACAGAAGATTAAGTCATTACAACTCGATGATGATGATGGTGATGATGATAATGATTATAATGTGGAGTGCCTCGATTTCGGGGTCTGTCTTGAATACGTTTCGCTGTCACCATTAAGCCAGCCATATCGATGCCCAATTCAAGTCGAAGACGGAGTCGGAGTCGGAATCAGCGTCTGGCCAGAGGCCTGGGCATGCTCGTAATTTATAATAAATAAAGTTGTTCACGTTGGCCAGCGCACAATGTAACGATAACTGATTGAAGGGGGCAATTCAAGCGGGTTTTATTTACTTTTGGAATGAGTCATTCGTATGAAAAAAGTTAAAAAAAAAAAAAACAGAAGATTGGCTAATCTGTTGATAAATCTTGTATACGAATTATTATCATAAAGAAAGATGTCTAGATTTGCAAAGAAGTTTGCCTAAGATAACAAATTTAAGCAGTGAAACTATGAGCTGTG